ATTGGTTAATTAATTTATAGAAAATGATTCCGGGCTATAATAAAATATAATACATTCCACTATTTCTCCACCCATCATTAATAAAGGTCAGATTTTTATTTTATCTTTCTTTTACTGTATTTTTAATCTGCTTACAATTTTTTACTGACTAAATATCTTGAGAGCATGTTAAATGCTATTTTTATAGTATAAAATAACTTCTTCCAAATACACCTTGCATTATGGAAAATGATCAATTTATAACATAAAAATGGTTTTGCAAAATTATCAATATATTTCATTAAATTAATTTCCCATAAATTTATATTATTAGTTGAATCAAAATTAGAAGATGTAGTTAGCCTACCCTATCTTATATCTCTTTAATCTTTAACCCTACTCCTTATCCTTTTTCATTGATTATTAAAAATTTTAAATATATATCAGTCAATGAAAAAATTTCCTTCTGATGGACATTATTAGAATTGTGCTATTATTATGTTACCGAAACTGAACGTACATACAAAAACATAACACAATTATGATTTTTTTTTCTCTTTAGCTTTCACCCTTTCTGGTGGTAAGCTCCTTCAATATTGTCACAATTGGGTGTTTTTGATTGTGAACTTAAAAACCTAAATATAAAATAAAAATAAAAATATATACTAAAATATGATTCTAAATCTTTATTTAATAAATTACTATAATCAAATACCAAGTGAAAAACATAATCAAAATAAAAGAAAAATAAAATTAATATAAAAATAAAAGGAAAAATTAAAAATTATATATAAAAGTAAAAATTAAAAAAAGTCTTCCAAGCAAAAAATAAAAAAGTTCAACATCCCACTTGTTAAAACTCTTAAAGTGAAAAAATCTACAATTATCACTCGTTTTTTTCTCATTTACATAGACGGGGATCTAAATAATAACTTAATAATTTTAATAAAACATTATTTTTGTTTACAATTTGAATAATGCATTTTTTTGTAACACAAAAATGCAACATATATCTCTCTCCACTTTATGTTATTCATACTATCTCGTTTATCTAATTTATACTTCTTCATATTGGCTCTAAATTTATGGCCCCATTGAAGTTTTGGCCTTTCTCTTTTACGTTTACCCATCACTTCCAAACTCTCAACCTTATTTCCTATGTAGTTCATAGGCCTTCTCATTGTATGCCCATACCACCTAAGTCTGTTTACCATTATCCTTTTAAACTTACTAGTATTCTTGTACTTCGCACCTTATCCTTTCTTGTTACCCCCGCAATCATCCTCAGCATTCTCATCTCCATAGTTTATAGACTTCTCTCGTCTGATTCTTTGGTTGGCCATGTTGAACTATATAGAATAGTTGGTTGTACTATGGAACTGTAAATTTTTCCCTTCAATTCGTGTGGGATTCTTTTGTCAAAGAGCACTCCAGATAAAGATCTCCACTTTAACCACCCTTGATTAATTTTACTCTTTATCTCTTTCTCTATTGTGCCGTTTGTTTGTATAGTGGAGCCCAAATATTTGCAGCTTTCAATTGCCGATATCTGCCATTCATTTATATCAATGCTATCTATTTCTTCTCCTCCTATCACCATATACTCCGTCTTTTCTCTAATTACTTTTAGTCCGTGCTTTTCTAGGATATTTTCACAGCTCACTAATCTTTCTTTCATTTCATCCTTGCATTCGGCAAGTACCACAATATCATCTGCAAATATCATATTCCACGGGACTGTTTGTGGTATAGACTGTGCTAATACATCTATTACTGTTATGAAGAGAAATGGGATGAGAGCCGACTCTTGATGAACTCCCTCGGCTATTGTGAAGCCTGTTGAAGTACCAGTTCTGCTACGGACCATTGTTGTATGGCCCATATACATATCCTGTATTATTCTTATATATTTTTATTCGGGAACCTTTTTGTGGCGTAGCGCCCACCAGATAAGTTTTCTTGGGATTCTATCGAAGACCTTTTCTAGATTGAGAAAGGCCATGTATAGCCTTTTGTTCTTTTCCCTATATTTTTCACTCATTTGCCTAATTGCGTGGATAGCATCAGTTGTTGATCTTCCAGGCATAAAGCTAAACTGATTCTCTCCTATTTTGATTATGTCTCTTAACTTTCTATTATTTTTTCGTAGAGTTTAAGACAGTGTGGCATTAGTTTTATGCCCCTGTAATTTTGACAATTGTGTGGATCCCCTTTATTTTTAAAGATAGGAACTAGATAGCTCTTTTCCCATTTTTGAGGGATCTCTTCATTTCTCAGTATTTTATTGTACAGATGAGGAGATGCATTTCATCATCTCCTAGTGCTTTAAGACTTTCTATTGGAATATCATCTGGACCCCTAGCTTTGTTGTTTTTCATATGCTTGATATTTCTTGTTCTGTTATTTGTTGTATAAGGTTTTGACATGGGGAGTGTTCGTCTAGATGTAGTATGTGGGGATTAAAGTTGAGAAGCTCCTGAAAATATTCTTTCCATCTATTCATTATTTCTTTTTCCTTTATTAACAATTTCCCATCTTTATTTTTGATTACTTTCGGAGCTCCGTTTAAATCCCTAGAATTTTTTTCTCGCTGTTTGGCTAATCTATATATTTTATTTTGCAATTCTTTGGTATTTACTTCTTCATACATGTCATCGTATGCCATAGCTTTGGCCCTAGCCACCGCCTTTGTAGCTATTCTCTTGGATTTTTTGTAATTTGTCTTGACATCTGGGCTTTTGGATTTGCCATATTTTATAAAGGGATTTTTTCTCGTGTATAGTGGTTTGTACCTCTTCATTCCACCACCATAGTTCTTTGTATGATTTGTTGCCTCCCTTTGTCAAGTATAGTGTCGATTTGGCAATGTCTATTAATCTGGATGAAAGGTCTGTCCACATTTTTTCACTGTTGTGAGGAATCTATTGTTTCAATGTTTGCATTGATTGCAAAGGCATCTGTCATTGTTTTTAATTTACCCCATTTGATGCATGGTTCAAGTTTAATCTTATTTTGAGTAGATTTATTTGAGATGTGTAAATCCATGACTAGCATGTGTTGCGCAGCGATATCTTCTCCTGGGATGACTTTGCAGTCTATTACATCTTTTAATCTTCTGCGAGAGATTAGCATGTAATCTATCTGTGTTTTCCTTGTATCACTTTCATATGTTATTAAATGATTGTCTTTTTTTCTATAGTAGGTGTTGGTTAAGGCAAGGTCGAAGGCCTTCGCAAATTTCAGTATATGCTCTCCTTCATCATTTCTTTCTCTGTATCCAAAACTACCATGATGCCTTTTGTAACTATCTCTTGCTTTTCCCACATGCGCGTTTAAGTCACCACCTATTGTGACTAGGTCATCCTTAGGAATTTCCATTACAGCTTCACAAGGATAGTTCTAAAGTCATCTTTTTCCTCTTCTTTGCAACCCGTTTGAGGAGCATATACTGAAAGGATGTGTAGTATTGATTGACCAATGCAGAGTTTTATCTTCATTAGTCTATCAGAGATCCTGTTGACTTCTACTACTGAGGAGGTTAGATCTTGACTGAGGATGATGCCGCACCGTTCCTATTGCTAACAATTCCCTTATAGTACAATTTATACCCATCTCCAATCAATAAAGTCTTCTGACCTTTCCATTTCGTCTCTTGTATGCACGCTATATCAACTTTTCTCTTGTTCAACATTGATGCCAATTCTCTCGTCTTACCATTAAGTGTCCCAATATTCAAACTTGCTAACCTTATCTTCTTTGCTTTGACCTTTATTTTACTTTTCGCAGGATGGAGGTCTACACACTGCGCGTCGCTTGGAGGGAACGCCCTAGATTTCATATTCATATTTTCATTTGTGTCCTACATTTTTGTTTATTACAAGTATCTTTAGCACCGGGCTGTCCAAGTTTGTCGGTGACCGGGGTGTCATCTCTAAGCTTCGAAATTCATCCTAGAAAGAACCTTTATAATTTTTTGAACCGTAACCAAACCTTAACGCCAACTCGCTTAAGGTAGTGAACCGAATGATGTACCCCCTTTTAAAAAGTTTAACTATTTAAAAATTATATTGCAAATCTTATATTGCTGATAATATTCAAGTCTTTACACATCAGTCATCGAAGAAGAACAATTTTTACGTTCCTTACCAGGATCGAACCTGGCACCTTCTGTTTCCAAGCCTACATCATAACCCACTAGGCCACCTTGATATATAGCTAAATTTTTTTTTTATCTAAAATATTATAATACTCCTAAATATTTAATCAAAAAAACATAAAATAAAAATTGGGTGTTACATCCCTACCTGTAATTCCCCTCACTCCCGAAACAATTCAATAGATTAGCTTTCACAATAAAGGAAACTAATTAATACCTATTATATACTATGTTACCAATATTAGGCACTTCATTTTGCAACTGTACTTTGCAGATTTATTATGAGGGTATTACACACTATAAACTTATATTAAATTAGTTCATTTAACCATAAAATAATATATTATCTTTTGACCTTTTTGCGCGTAGCCAAAAAGGAAACGCAGAATACTCATTTCCCAAAGCTAATATCTTTTTCATATTTATTAGATTTTTAAACTGAACCCTTAAAATGTATTTTAACGCACTTTAAAATCTTCTATAAATGAGATCGTCAATAATTTTCAAATACAAAGATCAACTGGTCTCACACGAACTTAAGATTAAAAACCTAATGATATCTCTCACCAATTTAAAATTCTTAAATTCCGCAAACCCTTGCCTTGTAAATTCGGGATAGGCATTTGCTCTACCTTGTCCTTATGAATATTAACCTTCATGTTGTCCAATATTTTCTACTGTATAATCTTGATCTTCTAATTCTCTTTCAAGTCCATTACTTAGCTCTTATTAGACTCTGGGGCAAAAAGAATCATCTATCCAATATTAAACTCACTTATATACAAAAATAACACCGTTTTAATGATTATCCCATTTTGAACGGCCAATTCGACATTAATCTCAATTAATTATCTTTATATCTAAAATGGGCTACCAATGGCTTAAAGTTATACCTAGCTCTAACCTTCAGCTCATTCCCTTAACTAATAATCTCTATTAGCCTGCACCTTGGCTACAAAACATTATTACTTATCTTGTATTGACAGTGGCCAAACCATAGATGACAAGGACCACCACCCTTCCTGCAAATATTCCGTGGATGTTTTTAATTTTTTATCACTTTATTTACATAACTATCAATAATAAGGTGGACCATTTAAACACCCTTTTGCTCAACTTATCATTTCGAACAGGGCAGTTAGAAAATGCATCAAAAGACGCCTTTTACAAATTGAAAGCGGTATCTATTAAAGCTCAAAAATCGGAATTCGGGGGTTTACAAAGGCAAAAAATGATAGACCTATTGTTTCAAACTCAAGAAGCCATATCTAGTCTCCAAATCGAAGTATATTTGATTTTTTAATTATAATATATTGCTAGTAAAATTTTATTTAGATGTATATTTTGAGATATTAAATTTAAACTTAGATCATCCACTTTGATGAAACCACTAAAATATTAAAAAGTGAAGATTTTATGTTTTTAAATATATTAGATTATTAATTTAGATCAGAACAAACTAAATAAGATAGTGGTGCAATCAAATGCAATGCCCCCCCCCCACCTCTGCTCATATCTGGAAGAAGAATTTACTTAAGATAAAAATTTCAGGGAAGAAATCGAAATATTTTTTTAGAATATTTTTGAGTTTCAGTTACAATTTATTTATTTAAATATTACTAGTGCTGTGCTGTAAAAGTTATACTTCAAAAAAGAAATGCGTTACTCGTTATGTTCGAAAAATAGAACGTTACCGTTACTCGTAACCTTGTGAAAAAATATTTTCACTATTCATAAAAGGAAGCGTTACTTAATAAATACTCTATTAGTCTTGTTTAGCGGCTCGATTTTCAAAAGCGGTTAGCTCAATATTTTAGCCAAACAAATTACGCTAGCCTCGAGATTTCGTTTATAGATGTTCAAACCTTTCTCCCTTATATGTGATAAATCTTCAGGCTTTCGTAATATTTTTTGGGCTAAAATATTGGGTTAACTGTTTTTAAAAATCTAGACGTTATGTAAAAAATTTCTTTTTCTTCATTTTTTCCTCATAGATAATAAAAATGAAATTGTGCAAAAATAATATATTATAAGATAAATTCTTTTTATAATAATTTTTTATTTTTTTAACAATTGATTTTCTAACAATAGCACTTAAGATCAAAGCCTTCGCTGTGCTAAGCAGTTCAACTGACGCGTTAGGATAGGAGAATTGTATTATTTTTAATAAATAAAATGAGGAACTTATTAGATCATCTTCACAAGTATCTTTATTTCAGATCAATCAAATTTTTATCTTTATCAGATCCTCATCAATTTTTTTTATCTTTATCAGATTAACAGAATTTAATCTGAATTAATATTTTTACTTTTATATGTTTTTTAGATTTGAACTGCTGGACATCATAGTTAGAATTTTTAAATTAGAATCTACGCTTAGAAAGAGGAGACTAAGTGCCTTTAATTCTTCATTTGTGTAGAAAAATGTTTCATAAGGCCAGAGCAGAATTAAATCATCCCTGACATATATTCTTTATAATATTAGATAATATAAATTGAGATAATTATAGAATTAAAGTGCTCCACTTGCAAAATTGTTAAAACTGGGAAGATTTTAAAGTTTAAATTCAAATATAAGAAAAACTTATAGATTTAATTAAAAATTTAAGAGGCAATTTATAACAGGAATGTGAACCCGAACCCGGACCTTGAACCCTCCTGAACCCTTGTATTTTGGCTGAACATGGACTCGGACCCTTTTTAAAAGTGGAGGGTCCAAGGGTTCTAGGTGGCATAAAAATTTTTAAAAATAAAATATTTTTTTTAAAAAATAATATAAATTTTTTTAAATTTTATTAACTTTTTTTGTGGAATCATTATTATCTTCGCGTTTTTCTTTTAATTTTCTTCCTGGACTTCCATTATATTTAGAGATTGATATCATAAATTATTTTCCAGTGTGATAATATTTTATTATGTAAATTTATTAATATTCTATGTTATAGAAATACGTTGATTATTTTGAAAGTGAATTATTTTGTAGTACAATTAATAATATTTTAATTTAAATGATAATGCACAACACGTTGGTCCTCAATTTATATGAAGCTAGAACGATTATTAAGTTTGAAAGATTTCTGTAATGATTAATATAGGAGCATGTGAGGTCATTTTGTCGGAAGATGATTGGTGCCAAATTTATTTGATTTTAAGGCATATGGATTAGATGCCGATTAGATTTAGAAAAATTTACCCTTTTTATACGAAATATTAGAAAACATGAAAATTCGAAAGCAACAATATTTGCATGTTGTATACGCTTCTATATATTAGACACTCGATATCTAGTTTTATTTAGTATTGAGCAAAAACAAATGGCTAGAGACCATCTTAAGGATTTATGGCATGAGCAAAACTCCATTACAATATATTGGTGGCTACGACAATACCTATTGGTTGTAGATAATAATAATGATAGCAACATTGGTGATCTTGAAATTTTACTTTTAGATAGAGAAAAAAAAATCAAATTATCATCAGATAGAAAGGAGCATCAAAAAATGTCTATTGCATCTTTAATAGTAAAGTTCTCAGAAGTTAAGGGAATAAATAAGGATATAAATATTTTAAAATTCTGGGAAGAAAATTCTTCAATATATCCAGAATTATATATCTTATCTAGAATCTTCATGGCTGTACCGGCGATACAAGTACAATATTAAATATTTCCCAAAGATTTTTATTTTTTAAAAATTTTAGTCATTAAAAAAAATCATCTGCTTTTGCATACTGTTACTATATATATATTTTAAATTTATATTTTATAACATTAATCATATTATTTGGTATGAGATTTAAATTTAAGAAAATTGACTTATCAAAAACTAAAATATACTTTAAAGAGCGTATTAAGAAAAAAGACTTTTTAAGAAGGTTCCAGTCAGGAAATAAAAAAAAGGTATTTTTTTATGTTGGGCAAGATCTCAATTGCTTCAGTCTAATTTGGGAAAATTCAATAGCTAATTCAATAGACCTTCTTAATTTTTTTTTATTGATCAATTTTTTTTAAAAAGGAGATTTATTTTACTTAATAGATCTGCCATCACCAACATAGGAAAATTTTACAAATGATGACTATTTAGATATTTGCCATATATTAAAAGTACCAAAATGAACAAATATCTCATTTTACTTAAATTTAATTTGAATTTACCCCTATATAATTCTTTTTGACAAAATTTAATATTCATTTTTGATAATTGAAATTTAGCAAACATATTTTAATTTGCTACGAGCAGAAATTGTAATATTATTTTTTTTAAATCCAAATCAGACTGGTAGAAATGAATGCTCTTAATATTTTCAGGTTCAACCCGTTCCGGGTCGAAAAAAAGATAAAGTTTGTAAAAGGACTTTATTTTCAAAAAAGAAAACTAAGATCGCAGGCTTAATATCTTTTAAAATAATGAAAAATAAACAGTTATCGACCAACATGTCTCTTACAATATCCAAGACCCGCGAATTAGAAACTAAAACAGAAGCTCATGCTATTAAATTGCTAAATTTGTCTTTAGAAGTTTGTAAAGATATTAGCGAGAGATTACAAATGAAACTTGATACGATGGGGAATGCCATAACTCTTCTCAATCATTCCACTAAAATCGAACAATTTTTGATCAAGTTTTCTTCTAATAATACTTTAGAAGTTTTGTATTTTTATGATAATTAAAAATTCAAAAAAAATAAGATATTAGTCTAATTAGACGTTTAGATTTTACTTATTTTTTTTATCACATCCTCTAACTTAAACTACTATGCAATTATTTGTGAAATGTTGGAAATTTATTGTAATAAATAATATAAAAATATAATGTAGAATGAAAGATGTGCAAAGCCGATTGAGTCAGACACCGACATATGTTGATTTACAGAGTCTGAAGGTATGTGCTTAGAAATCGATATAAATTTTGGAGAAAGTGAAATTATTTTTAAAACTGATTTTCACATAATTTGTATAAATGAAGCAATAAAACAAATGAATTTTGTGAAAAGTAGCATTGTTTATTAGGGAAATTCCACGAAAAATCAACCAAAATAACGTGATTTTCGGACGATCATTTTTAAAATGAATGAAACTTGACATGGTTGAATAGATTGTTTATTTTGTACAAATCAAAATTTTAATGTGTTCTGGCTCAAATATATCCCGAGTTATGGGTCTTCAAAGTCTTTTTCTCTTAACGAATCTTAAAATAATGAAAATATTTTTGGTCTAAAGGTTACAAATTTTATATCACTTTTGGCCCTTAAAATTCTCTTTAAGAAAATGTAAAAATTATTTTTTAAAATATCTTTAGTGTCGTTGTTTTTTCGGTGAAACAAAAAATAATTATTTTGAAAAGTTTCCCATTTAAAATGATGACTCATGAAATATGTTACATATATTATTTATATATTTAAGTAAAAATATTAATGGAGAAAATAAGAATTTAAATTTTATTTAGTTTTTTATAATTTTAGAAATAGGAAAATCAATTATAAAGGGCGCGTGAAACGAAGAAACGTATCAAATATGTTTATTATCAATATACTTAAATATTAAAGTAAAAAATATAAATGGTTAAAATAAGAATTTAAATTTTATCTAGTTTTAATAATTTTAGAAATAAATAAATCTATTATAGACAGCGTTATTTTTAAAAATATAAATTTATATTATAAATAACCATTAATATTTCTATAAAATTATTATATACATTAGAATTATTTTAAAAAAAAATACATACCCCAATAAAACAAAACATTATAATTATCTTTATAGATAGCGCCCTCTATAATTGCTTTTTTATTACTAAAATTATAAAAACTAGATAAAATTTCTTATTTTCTCCATTAATATTTTTTACTTAATTATTTAAATATATTGGTAATAAATATATTTGATTAATTTCATCGTTTTAAACGCTCTTTATAGTTGATTTTTCAATTCATAAAATTATAAACTAAATAAAATTTAAATTCTTGTTTTCTCCATTAATATTTTTACTTAAATTATAAACATATTGGTAATAAACACATTTCATGAGTTTCGTCATGGGACACTTTTTAAAATAATTATTTTTGGTTTTACCGGAAATACAACGACACTGATGATAGTTTTAAAATAATTTTTGTATTTTCTTAGGAGAATTCTAAGGGCCACAAAATTATATAAAATTTGTTACTTTAGACCAAAAATATTTGAGTATTTTAAGATTCGTTAAAAGAGGAAAAGGCTCTCATGGGTTATATTTGAGATAGGGCATTAGAATTTGGATTTATATAAAGTATACAATATATTTAACCTTTATGCAAAGTTTCTTTCATTTTAAAAATGGTCATCCGAATCACTGGTCGATTTGTCATGGAATAACCCATTAGATTAATATATAATTTTTAAAATTTAGGAAAAAATTGAGGCTTTATTTTAAATTTGTAAATAGAAAACATTAGGTATGATCAAGAATGAATTGATTAGAGTCAAAGGAAACGAGATAGAACATTTAACTACAATGGCGGATGGTGTATCAAGGATGGTGTCCAAAATAATCAATATATTTCCTCATGGTAAATAGTATTTGAAAAGGAAAGGAAGAAATGTAGGAAGGGCGGAAGAGAAGAAGTGTGAGAGGGAGGGAAGGAAAGAATGAAGGAAGGAAAAAAGAAAGAGAAAATGAAAGAAGGAAGTGAAGGGCATTATATATTTTTAAATTTATGTGACTTTATAGACTGTTCAATGGACTGGAATTTTGTTATGCAGGATTATAAGAGCGGCGTTTACGTGATTAAACCTAACTTGTCTAAGGATGTCTTCGAAGTATAAAATAATTAATAGATTTTAATAATAACTTTATTTTTGAATTCGCTGTTGAGTTAATTATTTTATAATTCTAAACTTCTTCTTTTTTCAATTTTGTATCTTATAAAATTTAATAGGTGGTCTAAACTTCAAAAGTTGAGCAATTCTACATAACAACCACGAATCATAATTTCAGCTCATGCTTCACGAATCCAATTTTATATGACCACCTATGAATCATTTTTAGAAACACACTTTTATGAATTAAATTTGGAAATTTCATTTGCATCAGAATAATATACTTTATTTAATGAAACTTAACAAGGTTATATAATTTCCTTCTTAATATTTATTATTCGGGAATCTAAACTCCTCTTTTTATCTATTTATTAAATTTATCTCAAACCACACAATAAATTCGAGAAAAAGAATCTATTTTTATATGAGGAAATGCATGTATTAAACTAAAAAGGTTTATTGCGACATGGATGAAATCATCAAAAATGAACATACGATCCAAAATAACGCATTTATCAGCGGCACCATCAAAAAGAATGATAATGATGACCTATACAAAGGTAAGGGTTGGACAGTTATACAAAGAAGAATCGATGGAACAGTTAATTTCACTAGAGATTGGAATGATTACAAATGGGGTTTCGGGAATTTGACAGGTTAATAATAAATATAAATACTAACAATAAAATATTTTAACATGAAAATAATTATTTTGATATTTATAGGATATATTGTGAGTATAGAGAAATTTTTTTCTTCTTATACCTCGACTTATAAGGTATTTCATTATCTATGCTTACTTCAAAGTTTCGCCAGTTAATTTGACAGCATTAAATTGCATGTTATTTTATGATCATTAAGAACGCTCAATAATTTAATTTGTCATTACAATATAAATATATAATAAATTCAATCGTATTTTATTAATTATCAGGATGACATATGCTTTTACTTGTATTTTATTATGTTTTTAACTTTTCGCCATTTTTGTGTTCCGATTTCGGCATAAACGTTTTATTTCTTTTAGATTTTATGATATACTTTCTATTAAGTGGATTAACAATCAAATATAAATATATAAATAGAAGCATTCACACAATAAGCAAAACCAGGGTTGGTAAGTCGATCAATTGACCTAGGAGTAATTGACCTGGTCAAATACTCCAAAAAATCTGAAGATAAAAAATTAAAAATATATTTGAAAAAAGAAAAAACAATATAAATGCATGTTATCACAATATTGCTTTCTATTGGGTCCCTACTATTAAGGGGAGCATCTTACTAGTATTGAATTTAATGAAGCAATATAATACAAGAATTAGGCATTTTTACAAAGTGGTGATGATCAAAATATTTCAAGTGATATCATAAATTTTAGAAGTAAAAGCGGCATGTTTAATAGCAAATTATATGGAAGGCAATAATTTCCATAAGAAACAATCAGATTCCGGTCTCAAGTTAGTGGAATAAGCTTTGGCGACCATGCCCATTAAGAGAAGCGGCATTTTACTAACAATTTTTAGTTCTGCTTCTTCTTCAGAAAGAAATAGATCGATTTGAGTTAATATACTTACTAAAACAGAAATAGATTGAAGATCTCGACAAAGGATAATGACAATATTGAATAGAACAAAAATTTGCCCTGCAGGAAACATTAGTTATTGAATGACAATGAATTTAAAGAATATTGTAAAATTAATATAAAAGATTCATTTTACTATTATATACAAAATAAAGTTAATATTGTCTTAAAAACATTTGTTTGAATTTGACCAGTCATATCGGTCAATTGACCGAATCGTATTTGATCGGTTAAATACACAACCCTGAGTAATACATCTAGCATTACAATCAGCTAACATTCTCGAAGCAATACTCTAATTCCTGGATTGGTTATTCCCTGGTAGTAGGGGAGACCAGGGCTAGTCGGCGCAATTTTTGTCAAAATCATCATAGCTCCGAAAATAATGATCGTATAAGATCCTACAAAATACTAATCGATACCTTAAACATCTACCTATAAATATATACTGTTACATTTTTTAAATATTTAATAGTTTTTTCTCTAAAAAAGATTTAGTAAAAGTCATTTTTTGAACCGAGTAGCCCCAAACCCGTGGCTAGTCGGATCATCGATGGGGCTAGTCGAATCAAGTGGTTTATTAGGCTTCTTATGAGACAAAAATTTTTTTTTTCATATTTTAATATATAACTACGATGCTTTATTTGTATAATATTCTATTTACAATTATAACATATAAAATAACAATCTTTTTTGACACATGACCCATGCGCCCAACCTTTACATACTCGACATTGAAACCAATCCTCAAAATTATGAAAATTTTTATAATCTTGTTTACATATAATACACACATCTTTTATTAATTTTTTAACAATATTTTTTTTTGATTTTTTATTCTTTTCTTTTAATAAAAGTTCCCTCTTGAATGGGGATGAGGTAAAGATCTCAGCCTTTTTTTCCTTGATCCTTTAGTTTGCTTTACCAGATGAGATTGATATCGGAGTAAATGACGAACCTGGGAGAGTATTGTTTGAAGGGATAGTATCCTTAATTGAGATGTTAGTAGAGGGGCTAGGAATAGAAGAAAAAGTGTTGGGAAGAGAATTAGTAAAAGAGCTAGGAATTAACATAATTGACGAATTTGAAGGCGGATGTCCTGAACTTTCTCCTAATATAAACGATCTTTCATCATTTGATGAAGGAATAAAATCCTCCTCCCGAAAAATATTTTCATTGTAGGGATATATTCCACAAGATTCAAATCCCTTTTGAATATTTTTTGAAGAGGCTGCTAAAGGTAAAATATCCTTTACAATAGAGGGAATATCATAAAGAGAAAAAGAGATTCCACGATGATTTGGATGGATCCGACTTGTTTCTGACCCTTTTGCGCAACAATTTTTGATAGATTTTGCACAGTTGTCAAGCCTGTTTCGTCCATATTGTAAATTGACATAGGTCTTAATTCTTCTTTATCTAGTATTCCCTTATAAAGATTAAAAAAATATAGAACAGCCTCTTGATTAAAACCAGCCGCTCGAGCTAAACTTGTAGCTTCCGGAGATCTTAAAGATAATCTTGGATTTCTTCTCATAAATGAAGAAAACCATTCTTCACCGGCCATTTTATTAATAATCCATGATTTTGGTATTTTTTTGTTTAATTGAATAGCATGATAATATGCTTGAATTTTTATCTAAATATAAAATAAATAATTTTAGTATAATTTTTTAAATACCTTTTTAACGGATAAACCATAAAAGGGTTTACTACATGCAATTAGATATTCAACAATTTTATTTTCTTCATCATCATCAAAAATTTTTTGTTTATTATCTTGGCCTATCTTGGGCATAGTGCCAACCAGTTTGTATTTTTTGTAATATCTTAAAAAATTTGTTGCAGGTATACCTAATAAAATATATAATAAATTTACTCAAAATTTATCTAATTGTATATTTAAATATATAACATCATTTGAATATCCTGAAAACTAAAATGTTCATATCCAATAAAATGTATTAATTTAAATCATATTATACTGTTAATTATAATTATTATATATAAATATTTGTTTGCTTCACATAATTTATATTAAAAAATTGATCTTATTATCAAGCTAAAGTTTATTTACTAAAATGTTCATATCCAATAAGATGTATTAATTTGAATCATATTATACTGTTATAATTTATATTAAATAATTGATCTTATTATCAGGCTAAAATTTATATATGCAATATATCTATGACAATATATATTTAATTATCACAATATATATATATATATACAAAGATTTTATTTGCAAGATATTTATTTAGGTCTGCTATTATATTAAAATTGATGAAAAATTACATGAATAAATTTATATAATAATTATTATTTTTATATTACATTTATAAAATATTATATTTTAACCTGTAATAGTTGATATTTTTCTTGATGATGATCTTATTTTCATATAGTCTAATAGCTTCTTCAAAATCACTATTACTAAATATTTTCCTGTTTTGAATTTTTCGTATATATAGGCGTACCATATTAATATTATAAACATTAATTGATTGATTGCGCCGACTAGCCACGATTCTACTAACCTCAATGGTGGTAATATTACTAATATAATCTTAACATATATTTAAGCATTATATATCAATCTGAAACTTTCCCAGATATTAAAATAGATATTTTACTTTCATATATTGTGCATTTTGTCATGTTTAAACTTTTACTTTTTTAATACAGCTTAATAATATTAAGGGAAAATATTCTGAAATTCATGTCAAAAACATGTTATAACAGATAAAAATTTAAATAGCTAATATTATAAATTATTTTTATCCCCAAATATGGATATTATAGAATTCTACTTTAGAACAAAATTTCAGTTATTAATCGTTACTAGTTTTAAAGTAAAATCCTTTGAACCGACAAGCCCCTTGCGCCGACTAGCCATGGTCTCCCCTATGTGTTCTTTAGAAATGTAATCCCCATTTACTACAGATTGCACATACAATCTAACAATATTTATTATAATGCTAGCATTTTTATTCCAATAATATTATTTTGTATTTTGACGCCCACAGATAACAAGTGGAATTATTATTTGTTTTAAATATTGTAAAATAAAACTTAAAATAAAATATTTTTATCTAAGGAATATAGAAAAAATTTATAAATTTTTTTTAAAACTTATTTAAAAAAGTATTTGTAATATTTGGGGAAATGTGTGATATTTTATAATAGTAACTAATTGGGGAGATTGTAAAATATGAGAACAATTAATATAGAACGTTATTTGATTATGATAGGGTTCTAACCTTCCTTTGATCAGAGGAGAGCCACTTAAAAACAACATCTCATCTGGGATTATGATAACTATATATTTTATTAAATAAAAACCCATTCAAAATAAATTTCTTAAGTTTTTCATAAATTTAAAGGGATTGACATAGATTGAATCCATTAGGATACAATTTCTCACTTTCGACCAGAGACCTGCAGGCCCGGCCCTAAGCCCCGGGCCGGGCGGTATTTTAAATTTTTTAAATATACCCGGGCCGGGCCTAAAAATTTTTTTTTAAAATGTATCCGGGCCGGGCCTAAAAATTTTTTTTTTAATATATCCGGGCCGGGCCTAAGATTGTTAAACCCGGGCCGGGCCGGGCCTTAATATTTTTTATAAAAATTTTTACATTATGAGTTAATGGTTATAAGATTATATTATATTATAGTTATGATTAATATAATATTGGGTGATGGTTAACACACCTAACACCCACAGATCGATCTAATTATTAATTTCCTGCAAATTTATTCAAAGTATTAATATATTTTTTTATAATTCATATCTAAATTTTTACAACATATTTTACCAAAACAATCAAATAAAGGAATATCTTAAATAAGCCCCAATATTCAAGTATTAATAATATATTTTTTATAATTCATATCTAAATTTTTAGAATATTTACCAAAACATAAAGGAATATCATGGCACAAAATACTAATGATATAATTAATAAAATTAAAAATAATATTTATTCTTTTAGAAATACAAATAATAATTTAAAATCTTGAAATATGGGCTAAATTTAACATCATAGATGAAAATAAAAAAAAAATTGGCTACGTACAATGTAAGAATTGTTCAAGTATATTATCTTATAATTATAAACATGGTACATCACATCTAAAAAGACATAAATGTGATGGTAAATCCATGAAAATTAATAATTTTTTTTACACCTGAAAAACCAACCTATAAATGTAATATAAAATATTTAAAAATTATAAAATAAATTATATTAATATTGTGCAATTAGATTAATTTTCAAAATACTATTTATTATACATGCATTTTTTTAAATAGCGATTTATTTTTATTTTATAAATTAAATAGTAAATTAAATACAATATATTATATTCTCAAAATATTTTCCATTTTTATAAATTAAATATTAGTTTTATTTTTTTAAATGCAATATAAAATATAGGGTTACTGCCACTCTCGGGGGGTATATTATTTTTATTTTATTTTTTTTTGTTATTTTTTATGTTATTTTTTTTATGTTATTTTTTTTATGTTATTTTTTTTATGTTATTTTTTTTATGTTATTTTTTTTATGTTATTTTTTTTATGTTATTTTTTTTATGTTATTTTTTTTATGTTATTTTTTTTATGTTATTTTTTTTATGTTATTTATTTTATGTTATTTATTTTATGTTATTTATTTTATGTTATTTATTTTATGTTATTTATTTTATGTTATTTTTTTTATGTTATTTTTTTTATGTTATTTTTTTTATGTTATTTTTTTTATGTTATTTTTTATGTTATTTTTTTTATGTTATTTTTTTTATGTTATTTTTTTTATGTTATTTTTTTTATGTTATTTTTTTATGTTATTTTTTTTATGTTATTTTTTTTATGTTATTTTTTTTATGTTATTTTTTTTATGTTATTTTTTTATGTTATTTTTTTTATGTTATTTTTTTTATGTTATTTTTTTTATGTTATTTTTTTTATGATATTTTTTTATGATATTTTTTTATGATATTTTTTTATGATATTTTTTTATGATATTTTTTTATGATATTTTTTTATGATATTTTTTTATGATATTTTTTATGATATTTTTTTATGATATTTTTTTATGATATTTTTTTATGATATTTTTTTATGATATTTTTTTATGATATTTTTTTATGATATTTTTTTATGATATTTTTTTATGTTATTTTTTTTGATATTTTTTTTTATCAATTTTTTATTTTTAAGTTATATTTTTGAGAATTTTGCATACAAATTTAATTTTTTTGTGTTAAAAAATAGGAATTATTAATTCCGCATATTTAAGTTATATTTATGAGAATTTTGCATACAAATTTAATTTTTTTTGTGGTAAAATATAGGAATTATTAATTCCGCATATTTAAGTTATATTTAGGAGAATTTTGCATACAAATTTAATTTTTTTTGTGGTAAAATATAGGAATTATTAATTCCGCATATTTAAGTTATATTTAGGAGAATTTTGCATACAAATTTAATTTTTTTTGTGGTAAAATATTTAAATTATTTTTATAGGAGAATTTTGCCTACAAATTATATTTTTTATTTAGGTCTACAAATTTTTATTGACCCCCCTTTGAAGTTTAAGTGATTTTTAGGAAAATTTTGCCTACAAATTTAATTTTTTATTTAAGATATTTAAAAAAGCTTTTTCTATAAATTTTTATTTAAGATATTTTGAAAAATTTTTTCTACAAAATGTTGTATTAAGGGTAAAAAAATATAGAAATTCTTAATTCCGCATCGTTTATATATATCAGGGAGAGAGGGGGTAGGTAATGGGTCAATCATTATCGAAATTTTGTTGACCCTAATGACAGATCCATCCACACCCAAAAAGTCGAAAGGCTGTGGCAGGATCTAAAAACAAACTATAAAAGACATGGGGATCGCGATAATATTCATGAATATCTTCTTGAATATAGATATTTTAGAAAATATAAATTGTTAAATCGTTCTGACATTTTATTCATTTTATAAATGATTGTATTAACTTTAATAATATATTTATTCAATGAATAAAATTGAGTATTTAATACTATATATCGTGTATAAATTTGAATACTATATTTAATTGCGTCATTTAATACTATATTTCGATTTAACCCTTCATTAGTAGAAAGGTTAAAAATCACTTAAACTTCAAAGGTGGGGTCAATAAAAATTTGTAGACCTAAATAAAAAATATAATTTGTAGGCAAAATTCTCCTAAATATAACTTAAATATGCGGAATTAATAATTCCTATATTTTACCACAATAAAAATTAAATTTGTATGCAAAATTCTCCTAAATATAACTTAAATATGCCGAATTAATAATTCCTATATTTTAAATTTGTAGACCTAAATAAAAAATATAATATATGCGGAATTAATAATTCCTATATTTTACCACAATAAAAATAAACTTTGTATGCAAAATTCTCCTAATTTACCACAAAAAAATTAAATTTGTATGCAAAATTCTCAAAAATATAACTTAAAAATAAAAAATTGATAAAAAAAAATATCATAAAAAAATATCTTAAAATAATAACATAAAAAAAATAACATTAAAAAATAACATAAAAAAATAACAAAAAAAAATAAATAAAAAAAAAATAATATACCCCCCGAGAGTGGCAATAACCAAATATTGTATATGCTCAAAATATTATTACCATTTTTATGAATATTAGTTTTATTTTTATAAATGCAAAAAATATAGTATATGCTCAAAATATCCATTTTTATAAATAACAGTTTTATAATTTTTATAAATTCTATATAATATTCTCAAAATATTAGCTTTTTTCATGTATTTTTTAAATAATAAGCGAAAATACTCGCTGAAAAATATGGTAAAATACCTCATAGGTGAATTTTTGTATATACCAGGTCGAATATAATTTTAAAAAATTCCGAGGCCTTAAATTTTTAAATCCGGGCCGGGCCGTAAAAAATTTTTTTAAAATTCATCCGGGCTGGACCGGGCAGGGCCTTAAATCTTTAAATCCGGGCCGGGCCGTAAAAATTTTTTTTAAAAAATATCCGGGCAGGGCCGGGCCTAAAAAATTTAAGACCGGGCCGGGCCGTGCAAATGGTGCCTCTGCAGGTCTCTGCTTTCGACCAAATAAGGAATTAAACTAAGAACAGCAAAATAATCAAGCTACGATATATATAATGTAAATGAAAAGTATGGCATTATAGTATATATAATTTGCAAATTAAATGGGACAGAATTATATTTATTCGAATCCAGATAAATTAGGAGTAATTATATTTATCGATTGTTAAAATAATTAGTTTGACACACTTCCAGGTAAGCCAGAATTAAGCTTTATTAAATTATTCAGTAGTAGCTAGAGTTAGAAAGATTATTTTTTATACATTTTATGCCTTATAACTAGAATATGGAACACTAATGGTGAACACATTTATTTTATATAAGGAACTTTTACCCGCATTATTATTTAAAGAATAGTTTATTTTATAATATACATGTTTTAGGCATAATATTAAATTGAAGAATCACAATTTTTATTAGAAAGGGGTGATATTGGTAAATTTTTTGAATATTATTTAAGGATGCATATTTTAAAAAAAAACGTATATAAATTTTCCATATGAAGGGATAATTATTATTAGAAAGATGACTTGGAAGTTTAATTTTAGGAAAGGGTGAATTTTTTTTGCTGTTGATATTCCCTGTTATTTATAATTCAATTTATGAAATGTAAATGTTTTCTTGCTTTTATTATTTTGATTTTAGGTCCTAGAAATCTTCAATTTAAAAATTTTAACCTTTTTAAAAATTTTTCTCACTTTTAAATTATTTTTTTAAATTGCCTCTTGAGAATTGTTATTAATATTTTTTTTAAATTAGGTGAGTTTTGGCTAGGTAATGAACGTTTGTACCAATTAACCAATCAACATGAGCAGCAATATATCCTGAGAATAGATATGTGGGAAGACTCAGTGACATCTTCAACCACTTCCCAAGTATACAGGGCCGAATATGAATATTTTAAGATTGGCCCAGAATCAGATGGCTACTTTTTAAATATTGGTCGTATATTTAATGAAACTGCTACGAAATACTTTAAAGGTTTTAACCCAGTAAACTCAAAAGATGATGATAGTATTACCGAAAATGATGATAATAAAAGAGTGGACAGCGTTTTAAAGGAGGGTTTAGCTAGTGCAAAGGATAATGATGATGAAAATAATGTAATGTACGTTTCAGATTGTTTGGCACAGTACCATAACGGAATGAAGTTCAGCTCTATCGATAAGTAAAATTATCAATTTGTTTCGAATTATTTTGGTTCTAATAGATTTAATTTAAGAATTTTTTTAATGTTATAGTTTTTCAATTAAAAAATATATAGTTAATTCTACAACAAATAAACAAAAAAAATAGTTTTTTCATCCCGGCTTCTTCAATTTTTTATAAAAAATTTTGGGTAATTTTTTATTTTGATTAAAATAAATGCAAATAATTTTCAATGACTATTTATCAATCAAGAATATAATTTTTAATATAAATGCATCGATTTTGGGAGCGATTTAACAGAAATGCTTTAGCAATTAATTTGACAGAAATCTTAAAAATAAGCAAATATTCAGACATAGTTTACGTAATATTTATCCCATTTGTCACCAATACTCTTGGTGTTTTTGGTGAGAATTCCTTAAATTTATTACATTATTAAGGAGAAAGCTAAATAAGTGGCGATCGTAATGAAGCCTCTTATTTCAAACAAGCCATTATGGCTATTTATCGAAGTAATTGCATTGCTATTCATGGTTCCATAGAGCAATACAATTAAACCGATCTCTTCATTGTTTTTTTTAATAATTCTGATTTTATTAATAATTCAATTTTTTTTTTAAATTTTATATATGCGCTATATTTTTATATAATTGTTTTTTATAAGACCTTTGGTTTAAATTCATTTTAATAATATATTTTGCAAAAATTTCTAAAATTTTAATCTTTAATGATGAATTTGATGTTTAACTTTATCAATTTAAAGGTTATCTAGGATAAAATGCTACCATCCTCATAACTCTAAATCTTGTAAAATTTCCATTATATACGACTATGATCAACTTATATAAAATGAGTCAAGGAAAAAATCAATTTTCTTTTATACCTATTTCCGGTTTGATGTTTCTAGCATCATACATTGACATTTTTCCCTAAGTTAAATTTTTATACAGTATTAAAGAACTATTATTAAACCACTAAAATATATTTGTATAATTATGCTAGCTCAACAACTTTTAGAAATAATTCTATTTCTAAATTCAATAATTTCCCTAAAATTCACATTTCTAGATCCATATCTCGACCCCTGAATGAGATTGAGATAGAAAATTATATTATTTTCTTTTTTACCATAGGTGTTATCACACCAATACACAAAATTCTTATAAAATCTGAGTGGGTAAGGCCGAAACTCTTGTTGATTTGAAGTGGAATCTATCATATATATTATATAAGCTTTAGCCAGAGTTAAAATATCTTAAGAATATTCTATAAAATTCATCCAAAAATTGAAAATGACAATTATTTCTAGGTACTATTTCCCTGATAATTTATAAATAATACATGTTTACAATCTATCTCAAAAAAAATGAAAAAAATTAAATGAAGATTACGACAATTGCTACATCCAAAATTTTAATTAATATTAATAGTATTAAAATACAGGATAAAAATGAAATGTAATTAAGATATAATAAAAATTCAAAAAACAATCTATCGAAATATATTTGTAAGACAAAATTTCAAAACCTGGAATTTTTAAAAATATGTAAAAAAAATTATTTAATTTTTGGTTGAAATTTTTTCTTTACGTTTGGAACTTTTCCTTTCTTGGTCGAGGTTTACCCCTTTTTCTTTTCCTTCTTTAATTGACCTTTATACTTTTTTGATCAGGGTTTTTCTTCTATTTAAAATGAAAATCATTTATGAGTACTTTTTTAAAATTGTTGATGGTCAAGGATTTTAACTTTAGAAGTACATGAAAGGTTTTAATATAATTAACATTGAACAAAAGATGATATCATAGATCTGGACGGGTAGGGTTGAGTAACATGTGCAATATATAATTTATGATTTTTCTTAACAAAAATTATTACTGGCATAGAACTTGTAAAAAATTTTTTAAAGGATCAGAACGAACCTTTTTAAAATTTTTGACTGACCAGTTCAGGGCGTGCCAATCTCTAATTTATATATGATGTTTATACACAAGAGACCAAGATGCTAGCTCAACGAACTGCGCCAAATTTTATTCTGGAGGTTGGTGGTATTCCAATTGCCAAAAGTGCAACCTTAATGGAAGGTATGGGATAGGCATAACTTGGTTTGATTCGTTTATCAAAAAGGATTGGATCAAGGTAAGCCGAGTAACCATGAAAATCAAAAGGCGAAAATCTATAATATGATACGCCTAAAATATTTGACTCATTTTAATTTTTAAAATTCTAAATTTTTTTTTACCATAATTACCAAAGTAATTGTAGATAATTTTAATTAAATTTTATGCTAATCATTTGTTAATATAAATATCATCTATCTTGCATCTTGTATATTATTTTAATTGATTTTTGTACACATTTCCTATTATGATGCTACATTTGACCATTAATATGTTATATATATATATATCATATTATACCTTTCTTATTGTAAGTCAGAGCTGAAATCTTTCTACATTACATTTTGTTCACTATTTCATAATTAATTTGTATGTAATGCATTTGTAAATAAATGAAAAGTTGTGATATGAATATACTTATAATATATCTGTAGAATTGCAAATCAATATTAACCAAAGAAATCTTATACGATTTAATCATATTTTTCTTATGATTTCTAATAATTAATGGGATCGTTAATTTTTTTTTACTATGAATTCTATAAATAAAATTTTTATAGTAGGTATTTATACTTATTATTCCTATAAATATCAGATTTAATCATATTTTTCTTATGATTTCTAATAATTAATGGGATTGTTAATTTTTTTTACTAGAAACTCTATAAATAATTAAATAGTAGGTATTTATACTTATTATTCCTTTAAATATCTGATTTACTCAATTTTTTTTGTTATTTCTAATGATTAATGGGATCGTTAATTTTTTTTCTTACTAAGAACTCCTTTAATAAAATTTTTATCGTAAATATTTATATAATATAATTATGGATACATATAAATATTTTTGTTTATTTCAAGTGCATTATTAGCTTTTAAAACGGAGTGGCACTATAATTTGACAACACAAAACTAAATTATTTTTCATTATGAAATTTTTCTAAAAATTCGCGAATATAATTTTATTTTTTCATGCCTGTGTAGACAATATTAAAATGTATTTTATAAGAATTTAATTACATATATATCAGGTTAAATAAAAAAAATAATTTTATAATAGTGCGCGAAACAAAGATATAAACGTACAATATGAAAGATGATTTTTATATTTCTATTCATCATAAACTTTGTGTTGATATTGATTTGAATTTTTGCTGGTAGCAATTTGGATCTTTAATACATTTAATTTATATATATTTAAAAATATTTATCTGCCAGTACACTCTTTAGATATACTAAATACATTATATTTGAGTATGTCTTTCCCTTTGCATGATGCTTTTGAGCTACAATAAGTATTTGATTCATTATAATATTTATGTAAACGGAAATTTGGGAATAGGCATCTTCAATTATATGTAATTTATATATCCATTTTTGAATAAAATATACCTTTCTTTTTTTTACTGCAATATGGTTTAATTGAAAATGAATATCTGCAATATAATATTTATAAAAGCTTGTAAATTATATAATAATTAGCTGCATTATAATAAGATTTATGGATTATTGAATTATAAAGTAAGGCTACTCTTTTTTAAACGGTAATATGGTTTAATTGAAATTGAAGATTCAATATAATATTCATAAAAGCTTGTAAATTGAGTAATAAATAGCTGCAATGTAATAAGATAAATATAAGATTTATGGATTATTGAATTATAAAGTAATGCTACTTTTCTTTTTATTGTAATATGGCTTGAAAATGAGAGCTGCGATATGATATTTATAAAAGCTTGTAAATTGAGCAGTAAGCTTAAGATATTTGAGCATATGAATTTTAGGCTTAAGCGAAATTTACCGAAAATTTACCGACAAAATACCTAATTATAACTAAAAAATTAAAGGCGGTACGATATGAATGGAAATTTTAAGATCTTTTCAATTTTTTTTTCATTCTTTGATATAATTTGCGTTTTTAATTTAATTTTTATTACATTAATTTTTAAATTAAATTTTTGATTAAATTATATTTGGTTATGATTTTATATGAATACAATAATAAAAAAATGGAATTTTTGAACAGAGACCTGCAGGCCCGGCTTTTTTAAATCCGGGACGGGCCTGAAATTTTTTTAAAAAATTTTTAAAACCAAATATTTTGAAATTGCCATTTTTAGCTGTAAAAATCAAAAATATATAAAAAAAATCCGGGCCGAAAAATTTTTTTGAAAATATGGTTCTCTGCAGGTCTCTGTTTTTGAAATTATATTTTTATTCTATTTAAATTTTAAGTTTTTTTCAAAACTAAATTGATAGTATAAAAATATTGTAAGCTGGAAGAAGTAAATGACAAATATAAATTTAATGACATATTTTATTTTCGAAAACATTAGAGGGGGGGGGGGCTAACATTTTAAACGTAATTTCAAATATTTTTATATCATTGTACTTAGATTTCCTATTTTAAAATGTTAGTTTTTTCCCTCTTAATGTTTTCGTGACAAAAAAAATATTTCGAACCGGAAACTTAAAAAAATACATCTAAACACTTTTAGATAGGAAATTTAATTCGTACAATGATATAAAAATATTTGAAATTACGTTTAAAATGTTAGCCTTTTCCCTCTGAATGTTTTCGCGACAAAAAATAATTTTTCGAATCGAAAACTTAAAAAATTTTTATCATTTAATTTATATTTGTCAATTACTTCGTAATCCAGTACTTACAATATCTTTATACTTACTATCAATTTAGTTTTAAAAAAATTCAAAAATTCCATTTTTTTAAATTGTATTCATATAAAATCTTCTCTTTTTTTTCCTTTTAGCTTTCACCTTTTCTGGTGGTAAGCTCCTTTACTAACTATCTCCACTTTCTCATGCTATTTATTTTTATCTAATTTATATTTGTATTTCTGATCGATTTCATTTGTATCGATCACCGGTGTATCGCTATAGAGGCCAAAGTATCTTGATCTCCCATCGGTGTATCAAATCAATATCGACCAGATATTCCACCGGAGTATTCCTCACACCGAATTATCAAATCGACAGATATCCCAATCTTGATCTCCCACCGGAGGATCGTTATCAAGTCCATTGTATTGGTAGACATTGAGCTTGAGCGGCCCCCGAGATCACCATCATCCCATCATCTTAGCGCTGGCCAAGAAATCGTTATCACCTGACCCACGAATTCAGCTGGCCGTCTTTTTTGGTTTATTAGACAAGTATCCTAGCACCCGGCTGTCCAAACCTGTCGGTGACCGGGGTGGCATTTTCCGGCCCAGAAATTAATCATATCATATGTCTAAAGCCATCCGTCATCGAAGAAAACCCGAAATTCTTTAGTTCCTTACCAGGAATGAACCTGGGACCTTCGGTTTGCAAGCATATATCACACACCACTGGGTATAAAATCATAACGAAATATAATTTAATCAAAAATTTAATTTAAAAATTAATATAATAAAATTAAATTAAAACCGCAAATTATATCAAAGAATAAATAAAAAAATTAAGAAGATCTTAAAATTTTCATTTTTTTAAAATATTATAATATGTTAATATAATATTTTTCTCGTAAAGAAAGTAATAAATCAATCAAATTTCTCATTAATAATTTTCTTTGTTATTTTATTTTCAATATTATTTTTTAGCCTTTCGTATTACCAAGCCTTTCGACTTATAGACCTTGCGAAAATTTAACATTGGAAAAACAAATATAATATTGTAATTTTTTTAAAAATAAATAAAGATACTATCATATGATTATATAATGTTGGGCAAGCGTTGGGGCAGCAAATAAAAAAATGCTTACTTATAAATAGAAGAGAAATTTAAATTCTTAATAGTAATCTCAAATTTTCTTTTAAGGAAATCCCACTCATTTTTAAAATGATCATTAAATTTAAATGAAATATGTTAATTGTTATATATATATATATATATATATTTTTGACATGTTAAATTTATTAGCTTTATTTTAATGATATTTATTTTTGTTTTAAAGTTTCAATGTTTTACGGCTAAAGCACGATTTATAGTTATATTTAGTTTTTCTTAACTCAAATTCCATTTGTATCATCGTTTAAATTATATTTAATTTTATTTTACATTCGTTTTGCGTAACTTAAAATGAATGAATATTTACCTATTGATTTATTTTAACTTATCTAAATTTTTGACAAAAAGAGATATATAAAGACAGTCATATATTATTTATGATTCAGTGATATATATTTTGATGTGTGATTCAATAAAATTATAATTATATATTTAAAATCTGACTTGATGACAATTATAGAATGTGTTAAATACATTATTCTCCAACCACCATTAAATTTTTTATCTCTCTATAAACAACATGGTGGCAGCTCCGAGGAGAAGATGGTATCTTCCGATTATAACAATAATACTTTGAATTAAATATCATAAATAAATAAAAACCACAAATATACATGAATTGTCATTTTATGATAACAAAAATTTATTATTTTTCTTCTTTTTACTTAAATTTGGGATTTTTTTTCTTTTAAAGTCCAGAATATCTTATGACTATGGATATTTTACTATGGATATTTTACCATAGATGTTAGTTAAAATGAGACAATTCTAAACGTACCTAAGCAGTAAAGGAATTTATCTAGTTAATCATAATTTAAAATATTATTTCAAAATAAAAGTATATCTATATGTTAATATTTATGTAATCATAATGGACATAAATAAATATATAGAAAATCGTGATAAAGTAACTAAAAAAATAATAAAAAAAATGATTTAAAGATTATATATAGTTGTAAATTTTTTTATAAAAGGAAAATTAATTAAAATTGTTTTATAAAATAATTATGGCTTAGTCCACCAAAGGTGATACCGAGATAACTATAAAGATTATATATAATTGTAAATTTTTTTATAAAAGGAAAATTAATTAAAATTGTTTTATAAAATAATTATGGCTTAGTCCACCAAAGGTGATACCGAGATAACTATCAGTTTACCTATAGATGAGACAGAGGCCTTTTTTATCTTTTCCCAAGCAAATAGGTGATATGCACTTATATATTTCAAAAATTAATGAATTTTTTGAGACTAGTAAGTTAAGCGATCGCAATAAAGCAAATTTTGTAACAAATAACGTATCTGAAAACTATTAAAAAGTGACCATTTCGACAGATGAGGAATTTAAGTCTCCCGACGCTTAAAAAATCTTGAGCTTTTATAATAATATGCAGGAAGATTATCATTATGAGTTTAACTAGTAATAAGGGCATAAATCTTATAAATAAAAAAAATTAGTATTCATAAAATTAACACGTATGAGTGAAATTCATAATGATAGTATATTATTTAATAAAATTTAGTAACTAAAGAAAACTATGATTTATTTTGCTTATAACTCTTTAACCTTTGATTCCGCTGATGTTTGGTTTGAAGATCAATTAGGATCAATTAAGACTCTAAATATTGGCATAGGTTTTGTTAATTGATCCTCACATCGTTCCGCCAACTTCACGGACCTAAAAAGAAATAGATATAAAATCTAAAATTTATGTAAACAAAATTTTCGAAGTCATCAAAATTCAAATCTTACTTTAAATGTAAAACTGTTAAAAATATGATTAAATCCCTTATTCATATAAAATTAAAATTATGAAAAGGTGATATAATTAACATTTAAAAATCCCCATGTTTATGAATTTGTTTAATATAAAAACGTTGATGAAAGTAAGGACTTTTAAGATATTAAGATACTTCACATTTTAAAGAACAAAGAGCCAAGTTTAAATAATTTCCTGAAAATTATAAGGAGGGAGAACCTCATTGAACAAGGTGATAAATAATTCAATTTTTAATATTTAAATGATTATTATTGAAAATTAATTCGATTAAATATGAAAATATAATAATCAGTATTGATTCTCATTTTATTTTTCAACGTTGTGGATATTATTCAATGTTCTCAATTTTATTCCGATTTATTCCTAATTCCATTATTCATATAATATCATATGAATTATACGAATTCATTCTTATTACAATTATTCTATTTGCTATAAATTTAAAATAATATTGATAACTATTATCATTATCGAATGATAACGAAAACAATCAAACGAGATGACGATAAACAACAAGATGGGTGAAGAGCACAATCGAAAAGCTTAACTTAGCAAACCTCTCATATGAATAAAACAAAGGAGGGAATGTTATAAATATTTATTTTAATGATATTTATTTAATTTTAAAGTTTTAATGTTTTATGGCAAAAATATCATTGATACGATTTATATTTATATTTAGTTTTTGCTTAACTCAAATTTAGTTTATATCAGAGTTTATATTACATCTAATTTTATTTTATTTTCGTTTTGCGTAACCTATAATGTTTGTTTATTTACTTATTGATTTATTTTAACATATTTAAATTGTTGACAAAATAAGATATATAAAGAGAGTCATGTATTTATTATTCAGTGATAGGGGAGACCAGGGCTAGTCGGCGCAAGGGGCTTGTCGGTTCAAAGGATTTTATTTTAAATCTAGTAAAGATTAAAATTTGAAATTTAATTCTAAAATAGAATTCTATAATATCCATAATTGGGGATGAAAATAATTTATAATATTTAGCTATTTAAATTTTTATCCGTTATGACATGTTTTTGACGTAAAAATTACAATATTTTCACTTTATATTATTAGGTTGTATTAAAAAATTAAAAGTTTAAACATGACAAAATGAACATTATATGAAAGTTAAATATCTATTTTAATATTTGGGAAAGTTTTAGATTGATATATAATGCTTAAATATATGTTAAGATCAAATTAATAATATTACCACCATTGAGGTTAGTAGAATCGTGGCTAGTCGGCGCAATCAGTCAATTTTTATTATATTATTATGGTACCCAAATATATATGCAAAATTCAAAATAGTAAAATTTTTATTAAAAAAAGATTATGAAGAAACTATAAAACTCTATGAAAATGATATCTCATTAAGAAAAATACCATTTATTACAGGTTAAAATATAATATTTTATAAATGTAATATATTAAATAATAATTATTATATAAATTTATTAATGTGATTGATTTTTCATAATACATTTCAATTTTAATATAATATCAGACCTAAATAAATATCTTGCAAACTAAAATCTTCATATACATATTGTGATAATATATTATATATTGTACAAATAATCATAATATAATATTTTATAAATGTAATATATTAAATAATAATTATTATATAAATTTATTAATGTGATTGATTTTTCATAATACATTTCAATTTTAATATAATATCAGACCTATATAAATATCTTGCAAACTAAAATCTTCATATACATATTGTGAATATATATTATATATTGTCACAGATATTATATATATTGCATATATAAATTTTAGCTTGATAATAAGATCAATTATTTAAATTAATTATATCTAGCAAACAAATATAATATATATATATTTGTTTTTATTAATTGACAAGTTAATATGATTCAAATTAATACATTTTATTAGATATGAACATTTTAGCATATAAATTTTAGCCTGATAATAATATCAATATATTTAAAATGAATTATATCTAACAAACAAATATTTATATATATATATCTATTTTAATTGACAATATAACATGATTCAAATTAATTCATTTTATTGGACATGAACATTTTAGTTATCAGATTATATTTAGCCTGATAATAAAATCAAATGATGTTATATATTTAAATATAGAATTAGATAAATTTTGAGTAAATTTATTATTAATAAATATAAACATTAACAAAAGATGTGTGTATTATATGTAAACAGGATTAGAAAAGTTTTCATAATTTTGAAGATTGGTTTCAATGTAGAGTAGTTCTCTGTCAAAAAAGATTGTTATTTTATTTGTTATAATTATAAATAGAATATTATATAAATAAAGTATCATAGTTATATATTAAAATCTGCGAAAAATTTTTTTTGTCCCATAAGAAGCCTAATAAACCACTTGATTCGACTAGCCCCATCGATGATCCGACTAACCACGGGGTCGGGGTTAATAGGTTCAAAAAATGACTTTTACTAAAACCATTCTAGAAAAATAATTATTAAATATTTAAAAAATATAACAGTATATATTTATAGGTAGATGTTTAAGGTATCTATTGGTATTTGGTAAGATCTTATATGATCATTATTTTCGGAGCTATGATGATTTTGACAAAAATTGCGCCGACTAGCCCTGGTCTCCCTTATATATTTTTTGATACGTGATTTAATAAAGTTATAGTGATATATTTAAATTCTGACTTGATGATAACTATAGAATGTGTTAAATATATTATTCTCCAACCACCACCAAATTCTCTCTCTCTAAATAACAATAATATATTTTAAAATATTCCTGATCCATAGAAATTTTGTTATGAAAAAATTGAATTATAGAGTAAAGAGACCAACACCAACTTTTGAAAAAATAAATCTAAAATTTTTATCTGTTATTGGCAATTTTATCTCATTGATTTTAATTCTTAAATCTCTCCAAAAAATATAAAATATAAAAGTAATAACTTAATTCAGCACTTATGTATATTACTTAAATACTGAAGCAAATTTAACCCATTTTAAACATTAATTTAGAATAGTTTGTCTAATATTAATAAAATAAGTGTTGTTGCGAAAAAGAGCGCTATCGCTTTCGCTATTTTTTCAAAAAAAAAATTGGGTGTTATCATTACTTTATTAAAAAGAAACTTGTTTAAATTTATTTAAAAAAATTGAATATATTTAATATACATATATCATATCTATATTCATAAAATTACTATCCCAAATACAAATATGATATTGTTATAAAAACTTAAATTTGTAAAGTATATGCAATATCTTTTTAGAGCATATTTTATAATAAAATCACCGCTATATTATCATTTTCATGTCTAGAACCTGGTTCAGAAAGTATGAGGTATGCCCTTTCAAATAATAGCTTTCAACGTATACAGTACAGAATATTCACAGGAAACAACCCCCCCCCCAATCAATATACCCCCCCCTCCCCCCCTCCAAAAAATTTGCTATCGAAGGCGGCGATATTATCACATTATTAATTACACCTTTTTAATTATAATGGTACTCCATTCATATATAGTAAAAACAATAACTCAAATTATCAATACTCTATAAATTATCAAAAATTGGGAATGTAAGAGGGTTATTTTTTAGAACATGGATTAAATAAAAAAAAACTCCTTTACAATGAATCCTTGAATATAACATATTATTTGGCATGAACGTGAGTTAGTTAATTGTATAGCCCTTTTTAAATATATTTAAAAAGATAGCAGCATTATCCATAGGCCTATAATCAAATTATAAATTATTATAACAATATATTATCTATAAATTTTTCAAAAATAATTGATAACATATTAAATAAATATATTCTAACCCCCAATTAATGCCTACCCAAAACACCCTTATAAAATATTTAGAAGCAAACTGCCCCTTCCCCTTCTGTTCATATAATTAAAAATGTTTATTTGAGTATTTTAGATTTAAAATGCACCAACACACCATTTATTAGCTAATGGTATTAAATCAATAAACATTAGATATTCTCTTCAATAAAGTTAAAAGATTAAAGCATAAATACTTTATTCTACTTGCATATCTCAGGGGCGTCGCAAGCCTTTACAATCTCAGGGGGCTCAAGTAAAAAAATTTGTATAATGGGCTTCGCCTCCCATACCTCCCAATTAGCGGGCCTTCGGCCGGGTTCTATAATAATTATACCTTTTTTAAATTTGCTAACTCTGAACAATTATTCTGAATTTCATATTTTGTCATTTATTATATTATGCATACAAAATAAACTAGCATATAAATAATTAAAACAATACAAGACATTTCTAGAAATAATATTTTTTAATACAAAATCTATATAATTTCGATTGCTGATATAAAAAATTTTGCGTCTAAGGAATTACAAGTGATAAAAAAGGTTAATTAATTCATAAATATGCCTCAATATATAATGGTTTTTAA